ACATTGCTACAAGAGAAACACATCAACAATTCGATTCCAGTCGTTTTTCGTTGATGAACAAGACACAAACATAGTGGAAAGTTTCAAAGTAAACAAAACAGTGCTCTATGAAGTTTTAACTTCCTCCTTAACCCAACTGAAAAGTTGAGAGAATGGCTACTTCGCATAATCATTTACCCAGTGCAAATTTTACAGACATTTATAATAATTTGGTTATAAATCTCACGTAAATAAAAATTGGTTTTGTGAAATGTTATTTATAACAAATGATTAACATTGAGATTCTGGCTCCACTAATGACAACCAAATCATACTTTTTATTATTTATGTGCAGCCTGGCAAATTACGCAACGCATAAACAAATGCATTTTTTAGTGTGTGTACCGTGTGGCAGACAGAACTCATATCAAACATACACATTTTGTTAGAGCTGCGAATCCTAACCAACCTTCATATACACCCTAATTGTAAAATCACCCAGTCATATGTTGATGGCAAAGCCTTTGGCCAATTAAGTGATAACATTATCAATCTAAGGTTGCGCCAATAACACATATGGTTACCCAATCGCACGCACATCATCTAAAATTATGAGTCGTTCCATAATACTCGATTGCACACATTATTAACCCGGAATGAAGTAAATGTGCACAGTTACAAAAACAAACAAAATGGTATGTATGTGCGCAATACGAACAATGAATTCGGGGTGAAATGGAATTCACAAGTGACCTTTAACATGTTACAGACTTTATTGAGATATTGATCGCTTATTACTGTAAAACATGTCTTTTTAGCTAGCATGTTATTATGACTAATTTAGCTAATCTCTAATTTCGCTAATTTAAGCTGTAGCTAATTTGACAGAAAGTCTATTATAATAGGGAGATAGTCGACACTTTAGCTAAATTAAGATTCTGTTAATTCATGCCAAGAGTCAAATCCGCTAAAATTGCATGCAGCTATTCAACATGCATTCAACATGTTAGTACAGTATTTTTTACGTTCATAATAACCAGAATGTCTGAAATCTTGTGAATATGCATAGGCGATACATACGTATGTGACACAGTTGCTAAGATCGTGGCGTTTTTTTTGGAGATTATTTTTCGCGTACTCTACGAGTGCATGGTGTTCGAAACCGTGGGTATGGTAAACCCTCGCTGATAATTCATATTTTGTGTGATCGAGCCTACCAGTTACAATTATGCGCGTTATGATAATTTTTAATAAATATAAACACGCCAGCAACATCGATTATATAAAAAATATTGGCCAGAAACTTAAAAATTGTTCTGGTCGTTATTCTATGCCTAATTTGATACACCGAGACCGTGTATCCCGCGAATTAACTTGAACGAATAAAAAAAAACAAAAAAACATACATCTCAAAGGATCCGAGGTGTATCACGTCGCGAAGTGAAGGTTCCCATAACACCGTGTTACTCACTCACTAGCGTCGAGTGGGATCATGATTATAGGCTAAAACACAGAGTAGAGGATAACAGCGCTGAAGCCCATCGTTCATTGTTTCGCTCTCGCATAGGATAATGAAGTCTACCAGATCTCCCCGGGGAAATTACGTTTTACCGCTGTGAGCTCGGATACGCTCTGACGAGATGCTCGTTAATTTGAAAAGCAAGACGTGCGCAGTAATGAACTACATTCAAGCCGACATTTGGCGAATTTAACTGGCGTTTTGATTGAAACAGGTGCGTCTAACGCAAGACGCTGTTATTTTTTTATACGGTCGCCGAGTGATCTAGTACATGAAATACAACACAGCACGGTCATACAAAATGCGAACAGTTAACTCAAAGACACGAGGGTGTTCTGTGGTGTATTTACTTAGCTTTAATAACGCGGATAAACATCCTCCCGTAACAATAACACAATTTGACTGAATTCTAGTCGAGTCAACTGTGACATAACCACTGACCACCAAAGCCACCGACCCTGATCGCCGCCACGCACTGCGTCACAATAGCAGCCTTGTTGACATATTTAATGAAATATTATAGAGGAATTTAACGACAACCTTGAAACATTGTGTTGAAGTTATCACTCAACAATCTGACACTTGTCGAGGACAACGTGGAAATTGATAGATTGTCGTCTAAAAACACCAACGGCCGCTCAGAGTGTCATCACTTTGCGGCAATTGGAAGCACTTAAGTGGCCAATGTTTAGATAACAACAGATGTACTTTGCACTTATAATTACCTCTTACTGAAATATTGGTGGCAGCTGTTGCAACTTGAGGTTTGGATCTTTCTTGTGTCTAACTATAGATGGCGCTGGTAATGATTATAGTAAACTCGTGGAAAATGCTAACCTCATTTACATATTGTTAACGGAATACTCCGACAGAGGGCGACATTGACCAAAATGCATTTTTCTGGTTGGCGTCTATTTGTTTATTTATTTCTGCGTTCACTTGTTTTGTCTGGGCTACGTTCACTGTATCTACAGAGCTCGAGCAACACGTTTTTTTTTTATTTTACTAAGCAAAAATTATTGCTAAAAATCACATTTTTATTTTTTCAAAAAAAAATGGTGAATAATTATTCTCTAATGTCCAAAAAAAACAAAAAAAACAACAACAATATTACATTAGTGTAGTACTAAATAAGTTTTTATGTCCAATATGACTTGTTAAACACATGAATTTTATAATTTTATTTTGCTTAAATAGTCACTTTTATTTATTTATTTACTACAATATACTTATACTACAATAACCCTGCCATCAGACGATAATAACAACAACGATATAGCACTGGACTCAATTCACCGTGTCCAGCTCCATTGTAACGCTGTATGTTAATTTCGGGGGAAGCCCTTGTGCGTATCAACTCTGACCCGTCCCGAACGAGCATGCGCAGAGTGTAGCGGGTACTCTTTCGTCCATGTGTGTTTACATGTTGCAGCCTTGATATTTCATAACGATATTCGTGTGTTATTGAACCTAAACAATCACTTTGTGTTTGTTGATAACCACGAATACCGCCAATCAATAATCTAATTTACGCGTTTGAAAGATGAAAAGAACGAAAATTCCCCAAAATAAGGGCATTTCGCCAGGAGAGCAAAGGTCAGAGACGAGTCAACAGCCAATATCGCATAGAGACAGAGCGCGAACCAGAGGGAAACAGGTATGAAAATTAAGTTATATAATATCAAGATTGACCGTCGAGGTTCTATTCTATTCTATTCTATTCTATTCTATTCTATTCTATTCTATTCTATTCTATTCCATTCTATTCCATTCCATTCCATTCCATTCCATTCCATTCCATTCCACTGCATGTATATCTAAAAAGACAAAAAGAAATTCAAATTTAATTCATAATAGAATACCAGTTTCGAGGATATTAGCTGCTCTTTCAAATTTTGTCAAAACCTCGCGTTTATTCGATCTACCGATATCAGTAGAATAATTCTAGAAAACTATACAGATTGACTCTATTTACAAATTCAGAATGAAATGTTGTGTTTTATCAGCACATAGTTGAAGGTATGCCCTTGTCATAATTCGTTGAGCACTAATAATAAGACTGGTTATGAAACGAAGTGCGATGCTAAATGAATCATGATTCCATTAAATGCCCAATTTAGTTTTCCCAGGCACATGTTTATTGGAGGTATGGCTATGGGAAAGAGTGTTATTAATCACTTGCACAGCAAATGTTTTTTACAAGGTGTTAACACTAGTCCCCAGAAGCATCAATGTGTATATCATTCCAGATAGAAACATACTTCTCTATGGAGCAAATAAGGAACATGTTCCAAAGATAAGAATGATGTGATATTGACAATTTCTTTAAATTATGTTTTTTATTTCACAATAACTTACGTCGGAAATGCAGATTTGAGATTACCCGGTATGCGTTACATCGTAACATTGCTTTCTTTTGTAAAACATGGCTAAAAAATGACACATTGAAAGATTAATTTGTGTTCGTCATCTGCCATGTGGATTTGTGTCTGCGATTGCATAATCTTTATGGAGTGATATCAGCGGGTCATGATGACTATTTCTATTTTACTCAGAATAAGTGAAAAGTAAAATAGCTACAAAAACACCCGCTAAATAAATTCATACTCGTTTATTTTAATTAACCACTGTTTGCATAAGAAACTGTTTAAAGTTTGCGAAGGTTCGACTGATCATGAATTCTTATTCTTATTACCTCACTGGACTGATGAATCATGTTTTAGTGCATCCATGTCACATGATATTGATTGGCAGCTGCGCGTCGGTTTACTGGTTCGTGTTTTATCCTTTATTCAACAACTTCTCAACTTTTATGTTATGTATTAATTCTATTAATCAGATCGACGGATTCATGATTTATATTCTCTGTATAAATTGAGAGAAGTTAGTTAGAACATGGCTTTGTCAGCTGATCTTGATTAACAGGAGATCGTCAAAAGAACACACATGATTGGTTAATCTAATGCAACATTTTACTATTGGAGGGCGCATAGCCATGTTAGAAGCTGGTTATAAAATGACACAGCCTTTATACATGGTTTTGAAGTCACGAGTGCAGAACGCAAGTGACTACAAAACCTTGTATAAAGGGTGTATCATTTTATAACCTATACATACAACATTGCTACAATACATTCATAGTTACATACATCTACCATGGTAATTGTTTTATAAGTTGAAAAAAAACACAGATTGTATCAGAATCCACTGGAGCTGATTACTACAGCAAGACTTGCAAGGAAATAATCCCTATTGTTTAGAAGCGTATTTATATCCACTTATCACATATATTGATTTGGGATCACCAATGATCACTTTCTTCTGTGTCTGCTCATTGTATATTTTCGGAACACAATTTGGCGAAAGGTTTCCTAGGACTTCAGTGTAAGTCTCTATGACCCCCCCCCCCCTCAGGATCCAGCGAAAGTCACTGTAATTTTCTTAGACTGACATGTAGGCGTGAGTGGCGCCCTCGCCGGCTGAACGGCATCAGACCCCCACTAGCGCCTGACTAGCGGCAAGATCAATACTGCAAATTCGCAAAGTTCACGCCTTCTTGCATTGAGTTTCAATGAATATTCATTCTGGTGGTCATGGTAACACCGTCAATCAAAGCAGTGTTTGTATTGTTGGCAAAAATCACTGTTTTCAACAGGATGATAAATTTTGGGTGGAAATAAACTGCTGTGAATGGTTACTTTTTGATAGCTGTCACTATCTGACATTTCTGCAATTTGATTGGTACCGACAAAAAATCATTGGGGGAAGTGAAAAACTACATCGTTCTGTCAGGCGTGTGTTGGGTTTGAACCACCGCGGAGGGCACAACTCACGCGACCTTGTCAAGCTATAACTTCCTAGGACCATAGTGAAAGTCACTATGACTCTCTAGAACCAACGTAAAAGTCACTGTGATTCTAAGGACCACAATGAATGTCATTGTAACTCCCAAGGACCCAGAGAAAGTTGCCATGACTGGTCGCATTTTCTTATCAGTTGATGTTCTTTTGGGCATACTTTGTAAATATTCTTGTAATAATTTTTTTTTTCAGAATACTACAAATAAAACAAGTTTCTTTTCACGATGTTTAAGTATTGGGAAATATATTGTACTTTTAATGGTTTTACCTGCATTTTTAAATCATGCTCTGTTGTACAAGGAAGGAGACGTCTTAAAACCTCCAGGTAAGTAACCTCTGGGTCAATGTGTGAGGGAATCTGATTATGGCTTTATAATTTTTTGGGCATTTTATTTAAGCTATCATTAATTTTCGCTGAAATAACATTTTTGGTGTTTTGTATAGAATTTATTTTATTCCCTGATTTTTGAGAAGTTGAGGAAAAAAGGTATATTCACTGGATTTTATTTTCACTGAATCATTCCTTCAGTGAAAATAGCGAAAATTGATTCCAAGCGAAAATAAAGTATTTTACAGTATTATTATTTATTTAGTGTTTTTATTGTTTTTGTAATCGCGGCGGCGTGGTATTTTGCGATAGTTAAAGCTACAGTAGCTATGATTTTAAAAGTTTGTTATCTAAATATAACCAAATAAAGATGACCAAATCTTACCAAAATATTGTTTTATAAACAATTGCCTGGGCATAATGCTAATGTCACATGAAATGCAATGTGAAACCTAAGGGTCGAGTAGTCACATGTTGGGAATTGAACAAAGTTATGACACATGACCAACACTATTATGGGAAATAACAGATAAAATCATCAATGAGAGGGCATCAAAAAGAGGCTTAGCCTGTCAGGTTCACAAGATTGCGATGTATTTGCCCACATCTGTTTTATGACTTCACTACCTTAAAGAACTCTTTCAACAACAATATTAAGACATTCGTACCAGCTGCTCCAAAATATTGGCAATTATGGCCATGCAGTAACACAATGTCTTGTCTCTCATTACTGAAGGAAATCAACAGCCGCGATGTTGTCACTGATTGGCTTCTTGCACTGTCAATCACTGTGGTGGTGTATGAAAATGATTAACATACTGTAAAATGACTAATTTTCATTGGGTTTAAATTTCGCTGATTTACCATTTCAGGCATATTCAGTGGGTTTTAAATTCACAGTTTTATCATTTAGAAAATGTGTTCTATGCTAAATTTTACATATTCACTGGGTTTTAATTTAGCAAATTTTCCAGTCAGAGGAATAAACAAAATTAAAACCCAGTGAATAATTAAATTAACCCCTTTACAATATATTGATTTGTTTTTAAATACAGTGAAAGTTGTAATTTTATTTTTAGGACAGATTTATGAAATTGATGAACAAAAAATGTATTTGCATTGTGTGGGAAGAGGATCACCAACAGGTAAAATATACTATGTAGTAGTTAAGGTATTATTACTTTTCATTCTTATTATGCACTTTAAATTTAAATTATCGGTATATTATTTTTGTTTGGATAACACAGCAATTTCCTAAAATATAACCAAGGTATTTCCTGCTGGTTTGAATAACTGAAGAAGAAATCTGGGTCTAATAAACTAGTATAGAAATATGAACCCTCAATTACATGTGTTTTGGACAATTTTTAATTAAATTTGCCATCAGAGATAGGGGTTAGCACTTTGGAAAAAGCACAAAGTTATTGTTCTGATAGAACGTGTTCAGATATCCCAGATTTTATTTTGTTCTTTGTCATTAATTTGATGGAACCTTATGATGGTTCATTTCATTAATTGTTAGTGACTGTTAAATTTAAAGCAAATTTTCAAGAAAAGTCACCTCGATGCATCTGTCCATGCAGGTGCATCCATCTCAGAAATGCCATCAATATAATGAACCATGACATTCATACTAAAAACATTATGTATGCATTGGTCTCATGATCAGAATTAAGATGGATGACCAGCGGCCATTTTTGGCAACATTCAGAAGCATTCATTTCAGAAGCAGATCTGAGGCACGGATGGCCATTATCTTTTACGTGCTTGGGCTGTTGCCAATTGTGCATTTATAACTGTGTTATCATTAAAACTCGAAAATGTGGCCTATTAAAATTCATCCACCAAATTATTTAATAATTTTTCCTAATTTGATTGGCTTCTAAAATCTAGACCAATTCAAAATTTGGTTGTTTTTGGATCACATACAATTGTATTGTTGTTTTATTCAAGATGGCTGACTGGTAGCCATCTTATGTATAAATTTCATCTTATGTGAATATATATATATATATATATATATATATATATATATATATATATATATATATATATATATATATATATATATATATAATATTTTTTTTAATTCCTTATATATATTTTGACAGTGGTTCTAGATGCTCCAACAGGCATGTCATCAGATGTGTGGATTTTTGTCCAAGAAAAACTATCCAAATTAACTAAGGTAAAATCTTTGACCTTTGATCAATTGTTGTCAACTTTTACCAAAAAAACAAACTTCATAGGTTGTGCCAAAATTTGCTGGGAAAACTTATGGTGCATATTGTCTACCGGCAATCTTTGTCTTTTCCAAAATGATTACATGTTTTAATAAATCTGAGATTGTAGGGTTACTCATGAGACATCCTCTATATATTCTGTATTCTTTTATGACAATAGTTCATGTGACGTGTATGTGCATGTACATGTGCATGTCTGTCATTTCCAATAAAGAAACTTACTTTCCATTGACATATATCCGTGACATTCTTGGGAAGATTAGGTTTTACACACTATAGTACATCCTGTGATACATACACAAACATTTTGTGCTTAACAGTAAAGCATGTGCAGGTGATGACCCTCCCGCTTAAAATGAACCATGTAATTTGCAGGTCTGTATTTATGACAGAGCCGGTTTGGGATACAGTGAAGCTCCCTCACAGGTGAGTTTAGCCATTTCGGCATGCCAAAGGTTCTTTATGTTTTCTGTAATGAATTTGATAAATATTTTTCTTGGTACAATTTTCAGATATTCCACTGATACTTTCTGCACAACTCACTGCATTCTCTTCATCTGTATATGAATATTTATAAATGCTAATAACAGTTGAATCGAATCAGCCAATTAAAGAGCACAGTGCACATTGACGTCATTTGTTCTATTTATATTCCATCAGCGAATAGAAACCTCTTGTTTTAGTTTGAATTGTGTAATTAATAAATATTTATGAAAACAAAGGGAATGGGTTTGTAGCACTGAGAGTATTCCTGCTCAAGTGATTTAATTTAAACTTGGTATGTAGGTGCTCTGAAATATTCTGACCCGAGGACTTTTGTTATCTTTATGCATATTTATTACCTAATTTGCATAATGCTATTAAAATCATGTGACCTCACTAATGAATATTATGTCACCTCATGATGAATATTATGAATAAACTACTGGTCATTTGATTCTCTTAATTTTTTTTTCTGACTCCAGTTTCAATATAAAAATGTAGAAACAGATGAAAAAGAGAAATCATACATGCATAACAAATGGCAAGAAGCAACCACTGAAAGGTACAAATCTTTTGTTTTGAATTTGTTTTTTCCGTTTTGATATGCGTTCCATGAAATGATTACAGATGTGTTTCCACTTAGCTTATCAACCACAAATGATCTTTGAGTTTACAATTTAGACAGGTTAGTTGATGACTAGTTAGGGTAACACTAACATGTCTCACGATGTGTGTGTGTTTGTGTGCTCTTTCCTCCCTGTACTGGGTAAAAAGGGCACAATATTACATACAATTTTGACCTGAATAGTAAATATTTCAAATAAATTTTTTGTAAATTTTTTTTACCAATTACAAGTCAGTAGAATTATGTATTCGTTCTGTACAACAACTGTCATCAAATCTTCTTATTGCCCTTTGCTATAATATCATTGAGACTACTCCTTCAAATTGACGAGGGCAAGCCAACTATTGGAATATTTATCGATTTTACAAAAGCTTTTGATACTATTAATCATACAATTTTGCTGGAAAAAATGGGTCATTATGGTATACGCGGGCTTCCAAATAAGTGGTTTAAAAGTTATCTAGAAGATAGATCACAATTCATTTTTTCAAATGGTGTTTCATCTGGGCAACTTCCTATATCATGTGGTGTACCACAAGGTTCAGTACTTGGCCCTACCTTATTTCTTTTATACATTAATGATTTCCCAAACTCTACACATTTTTTTAACTTTAGACTCTTTGCTGATGACTCCAATTTGTTTCATTCTTTTCCACTAGGGGCAGATATTGATTTGTGTATTATTAACAAACATTTAAACAGTGTTGTACACTGGTGTGATGCAAATAAGTTGACTATCAATTGTTCAAAAACAAAATATATGATCATCAAAAAAAATGATAGCCAGAATTATAACGTTTTCCGACTTTACTGCGCATGCTCCACCAATTTTTAATACTCTCCAAATTCTTGATATTTTTAAACTTCATAAGTCATTACTTTTAAGTTTTATGTATGATATAATTCATGAGAATCTCCCACAATCAATGTCAACATATAATTTGCAGTATTTACATCATAAATATAGAACACGACAAAGATGTCGAAATGATTTACTTGTACCTAGAATGAACACAGTAGCGGGGACATTTGCAATATCTTATTTAGGGGCCAAACTTTGGAACAGCATATCAATTTCTTTAAGGTCTAAACAAAAACTTACATTCAAAAATACTATACGGGAAAATTTAATGTCAGAGTATTTAGAATAGAACTAATATTTATTATAAATGTATGTATATACATATATATATATATTATTATATTATCATATTTGTTTATTTGAAATATACTGAGGTGTAACCTACTGTCCTAACTTAAGTCATTAAATTCAAGTTATGTCAGGGATCTGACTCGACTAGCTTTTAAGCTATTTCAGATTCCATTTTACCTAGACTGCATGTACAATTTTGAGTATTGTATGAAATATTTTCTAGGTCAATAAATTATTATTATAATCTCCAATTTAAATTTAACTACTGTTTATAGTTTACTTATTATGATTGGTGGAGAGTGTAGGAGACATTTTCTCATTAATTTTCATAAACATGATATATATAAATATACATGTAGTTTATAATAATTTTTCTATGACTTTTGTAGGATGGCTGATGATTTAAAAAAACTGTTATCCGTCAGTAAAACAGAATTACCGTATATACTGGTTGGTTCAGAAATTGGAGCTTTGATTGCAAGATTCTATGCACAGTTATCAGAAATAAGGTAACAAACATGAGTGCTAATGTGTTTTATAAATACCATCTTTGTTACAGGCTAAAAAGTAGTTCCCGGGTAATTCATGTGCACATACCAACTATGTTCCATACTAAAAAGTAGTCCCTGGGAAATTCATGTACATTTACCAACTATGTTCCAAACTAAAAAGTAGTCCCTGGGAAATTCATGTACATTTACCAACTAAGTTCCAAACTAAAAAAGTAGTCCCTGGGTAATTCATGTCCGCATACCAACTATGTTCCAAACTAAAAAAAATAGTTCCTGGGTAATTCATGTATACATTTACCAACTAAGTTCCAAACTAAAAAAGTAGTCCCTGGGTAATTCATGTCCGCATACCAACTATGTTCCAAACTAAAAAAAATAGTTCCTGGGTAATTCATGTATACATAACAACTATGTTCCTGACTACATATTAGTCCCCGGGTAATTCATGTCTGCATACCAACTATGTTCCAAACTAAAAAAAATAGTTCCTGGGTAATTCATGTATACATAACAACTATGTTCCTGACTACATATTAGTCCCCGGGTAATTCATGTCTGCATACCAACTATGTTCCAAACTAAAAAAGTAGTCCCTGGGAAATTCATGTACATATACCAACTAAGTTCCAAACTAAACAAAGTAGTCCCTGGATAATTCATGTGCACATACCAACTGTGTTCCAAACTAAAAAAGTAGTCCCTGGGTAATTCATGTACACATACCAACTATGTTCCAGGTTAAAAAGTAGTCCCTAGGTAATTTATGTACACATACCAACTATGTTCCAAACTATAAAAAAGTAGTCCCTGGGTAATTCATGTACACATACCAACTATGTTCCAGGTTAAAAAGTAGTCCCTAGGTAATTTATGTACACATACCAACTATGTTCCAAACAAAAAAAAGTAGTCTCTGGGTAATTCATGTACACATACCAACTATGTTCCAGGTTAAACAGTAGTCCTAGGTAATTTATGTACACATACCAACTATGTTCCAGGTTAAAAAGTAGTCCCTAGGTAATTTATGTACACATACCAACTATGTTCCAAACTAAAAAAAAAGTAGTCTCTGGGTAATTCATGTACACATACCAACTATGTTCCAGGTTAAACAGTAGTCCTAGGTAATTTATGTACACATACCAACTATGTTCCAGGTTAAAAAGTAGTCCCTAGGTAATTTATTTACACATACCAACTATGTTCCAGGTTAAAAAGTAGTCCCTAGATAATTCATGTACACATACCAACTATGTTCCAGGTTAAAAAGTAGTCCCTAGGTAATTTATGTACACATACCAACTACGTCCCAGGTTAAAAAGGAGTCCCTAGGTAATTTATGTACACATACCAACTATGTTCCATGTTAAAAACAAGTCCCTAGGTAATTTATGTACACATGCCAACTATGTTCCAGGTTAAAAAGGAGTCCCTGGGTAATTCATGTACACATACCAACTATTTTCCAGGTTAAAAAGGAGTCCCTGGGTAATTCATGTACACATACCAACTATGTTCCAGGTTAAAAAGAAGTCCCTGGGTAATTCATGTACACATACCAACTATGTTCCAGGTTAAAAAGGGGTCCCTGGGTAATTCATGTACACATACCAACTATGTTCCAGGTTAAAAAGGAGTCCCTGGGTAATTCATGTACACATACCAACTATGTTCCAGGTTAAAAAAGAAGTCCCTTGGTAATTTGTGTGCACATACCAACTAATGTTTCAGCTAAATAAATATTGGTCTCTGAGTAAATTATGTGCAT